TGTTCACACACACACACACACACACACACACACACACACACACACACACACACACACACACACACACACACACACGCACACACACACACACACACACGCACACACACATGCACACAAACACACACACACACACACACAGGAGGACTGGACTTGCTTAACGGCACATTTAAGAAGATATCTCTGCAAAATTTACAAGTAACATGTTATAAAACCCACCCTGCATCCACCAGGGTGGGTTTTATTCGGCTGAAATAATCATCAAACCATTAAGTAATTTTTTTTTGCAAAATTTTACTAAAGCCTAAGAATTGAGACAACATTTAGGTTGCTCAGAATGCCCGTTGCCTAAACTGGTTCAGTCAAAGACATTGTGTTTGTTGAACTAGGACTCTCTGGTCTTTACTTTAGTGCCCATGTGAGGCTATTGTAATGTTTTTGTTTTGTGTGTCTGTATAATTATGTATTGTAATGTTAACTTGTATTTTGTATTTGCTAGACAACTGTAAAAAATCAGTGTTATTCAGCTTGTTTTTGTACTGGCTGCAAGTCTGATTTTTATGAATAAACTGTTATAAACTGTTCTAAACTGTTAAACCGAAGAACACTACATGGCCCCACCTTGTGTGTAAGAGAAGAACAGCAGCTGCAGGGCATGTGAGTAGTAGACAGACACACCTCCTCCACAGATCTGACCATTCGATTCCTGTTCACAATTAACATCAAACATTATGTACATGTACACACTTTAATGTATGCATTGTAAGTGATCTGTTCATCTCTGTAACACCTGTCTATTGCATTGTACATTGTATTAACAAATTAGAGAAACAAGCTGGTCCTTTTCTTGGTAAACTCTACATGTATCCCAGTCTGCATGAATGAGCATCAACAGATACGTGCAATTATCTGTTTCAAGTTAAAACAAACTAAAGGTTGAATTCTCACACTGTTACAGTAACAACTAGTTTATGTGGACAACCTTTGTTTGATATGAACAAGATATAATGACTGAATGAACACTACAATCTATTGCAGCAATAGTATAGTCATGTATCACTCTTATCATCAAACTCCACCTCCTCCATCCCACTTGCCCTCGACCTGTTTAACACTTTAGTAAAACCAATTTTGTTGTACTGTAGTGAAGTCTTAGGAACAAATTCACAATGTAGAGACTTGATCCTGAAAGGAATAGAAGAATGTCCCAACGAAAATGTCAGAGAAAAAGTAACTAACATTCTTGGTCCAATTTTGGCACCAGATGTCGCCATCCTTAGAACTTCCCGCATAGGGAAGAAACTTGACCCTTTATCTCCCCGCCCCGTTCTCGTTCGTTTTAAAAGATATAGTGACAAACTTAATTTGATATACCACTCAGAAATATTAGAAAACATAACATTAGAACAACCAACGATATGTTATGAAATTCCTGACCTAGAGTATGTTCTGTTAAATTTCTACAAAATACTTCTCCATGTTCCAAAGAGCTCTGTCAATTCCGCTATAAGGGGGGAGCTAGGAACCTTACCACTGTACATTGATGCTCAGACACAAATGATCAAATACTGGCTTAGGCTAACCAATTTATCTAATGACAGAATTGTAAAGAAGGCATATGATGCTGCTGTCGAACTAGACCATGACTGGACAGTCCACATACAGGACTTACTGTGCAGACACGGCTTCCAAAATGTCTGGCTGAACCCAAGGGTTAATGCCAACCAGTTTGGAAGCTTATTCAAGCAACGTTTACAGGATACATTTCTAGTTGGCTGGTGGCAGGAAATAAGAAAATTCAATAAACTTCATACTTATTCTAAAATTAAAAAACATTTCGGCTTGGAAAAGTATCTATCATCAATTCAAAACGAATCTTTTACGACAAGCATAACTAAAATGAGGATAAGTTCACATGGCCTGGAAATCGAAAAGGGCCGTCATTATAACACACCAGCCGATCAGAGATTGTGTCCGACATGCAAGGAGGGTATTGAAGACGAATTCCACTTTATGATGTCATGTCCAACATATGAAGAAAACAGACAAAAATTGATGCAATCCATAGCTTCCAAAACTAATGTTACGCTACCTCACTCAAAATCAGATATCTTTAATACTCTCCTTTCATGTCCTACTCAGATATCAGTGTACGTTGGAAAATTCATATTCGAATCACTACAAAAGCGACACCAGATTGTAAATAGCTGATATATCCCCTGAATTACAGAATGTAATAATACTCTTCCTAAGAAAACACAATAGATTAGCTTTAGTATCATTATGGACTAGCTAGTTAGAATTATATCTTAGTATTAGTTGATCTATGTACCATTGTTGTTTCTTTGCCATACATTGTACCAGCTACAGTTGTTGAGCAATAAAGTTGATTTGATTTGTATCTGCATGTTGCAACATGATAGAAACAAGAAATACCAAGAAGGCAGTCATACAATGTAAAACAAGTTATTGTGACTGTACAATGTATTTGAAAATTTGGAATGGATTTCTTTTCAAACCTGGTGGAAAGGTGGCAGGGAAGAAACAACTTGTACTTCTCTATGGAATAACAAATTTAAATGACCCCTTCCTATACTGAAGAATAAGCAAATGAGCAGTTTATTGACATACAATCATGGATTGTACCTTGATATCAGGGTGTTTAGGTTCCAGCAGGGTGGTGATGTAGAATGGTCCATGAACAGCACTGCTGGCCTGCTCCATGGCCTACAAGAATGGCACAGTCAGCACACAGTTATACACAACTGTACTTCTGTCACACACAGTCATGTGTTACAATGTAGTTCAGGCCTTTCTACCGTGACTAGTTCACCATACAATGTGTACAATCTTACAAGCAGTTCAGTGACAATGACATTTCTTCCACATTCCCACCAGAAAAGGATTAGACGTGCATTAGAACAAAAAGCATTGTAGTATTATAATTAGAACTAAATGTACAGTTTACATGCCCCTTTTCTAAAAACATGTCACTCTGTGTAAATTAATTCACTGAGTTTTTCTGGTATACAATTTACACGTATATTACTGGAGATTCTGAAGAAGAATACAATCCAATGGCACAGAGAAATCAAGTCCAACATGGAAGGTCTGGACAGTAAAGACCATTGGAAAACAGCCAGTTCCAGCCTCTGTTATTCAGTCCTTGCCACCGACAGACCCACTAAATGTTTTCAGCATGTTTTAATGTGAGTGGCACCTCACACATGACGTACAACAGTTCCCCACCTGAATGTACATGTATCCAGCAGATGACATAAGGACAATGTAGTAAATGTCGTCCACAAATATGAACGTGGCATCACGGATTTTTCCACTCGGCAACAGAAAGTAATATCCAGGGCTCAGCACATCGACTGCCAGGTTGTAGATCTGGTGATGAAACGACAGCCAGGTTAGTGACAACCTTGTAGGCTTTTCTCAATGTTTTAAAGCTTTACCAAAACTGTTTGACATTTAAAACCCCTAATACAGTTACACAAATATGTATAACAATCATAGTTTTTTCCTAACCTTGACCTCTGACCTCAACGTAACACACATGCAGTTTCAATTATTTACTTTATTTACATGATTGCGTGATATGGATTTAAAACTGTTCAGCTGGTAATTTTGAATTTGTATTATTTTGTACATATACATTGCATGTATTGGATGTCCCATAATTATAGTGTAGTTGTGTATACATGTACATTTTAACATGCTTGTTATCCTTTATGTTGACTTACGTTTATCAGCCTTCGCTGCCCATAAGTCTGTGTAATGTGTTGTTGCATGCATTTGAAATAAATAAATAAATGAAATAACTACAGTACCAATAGTCTACCAAGTTGGATGGCTATTCCAAGATCAGGGTGTACCAATGGCAGGATGCCTTCAACTTATTACAGTGTATAACATTCTTACTTAGTTTGTATTTATCAAATTTTTTTCGTATTGATCAAACATAATCCAAATACAAGTATTTGGTAATGGTAGATGTTCAGGACATTTATGCTATCAAAATCAATAATGATGAATTCAATCAATGCCAGAAATTAGCATGAAATTTAGTATTACATAATATGCTGTTGCACTTAAAAAAGCCAATTTTTAAAAAATATTTTAAGCAATTGCAACTTGAGGTTAAGGTTAATCTGCTGTGCAACAGTTTCTTATTCTTTTAGTTTAAGTGTGTGTCTGTACCATGCAGTTGGGGATTTATGGGACTTTGAACTATGATTGTGAAAATATGAAATTATCATAAACGTTAACCCCGGTGTAGTGTCCATAGACTGTGTTGTGTCAGTATACCATATATTTTAAGTACCATTCATATAATCACAATATTTATTCAAGCTCTCAAAAACAGTACCAAGAAAATCCTATTTGACTTTTCTATTAACATCCCACAATACCAGATTATCTGAACCCAAAATTTGTCCCACACTTTGTTTCATCCTGACACCAAAATTCACAATCATAAATTCTTCACCACTACATAAACCATACATGTGTGTACAATGTAGTGTGGAATCACTACGTCTTACAAATTCTGACAAAAATAACCTCACACAGATCACTTTCAGACACATGGAAGTTCCAAACCCATTCTGGACATGTACCTTGACAAAGTCTGCAGTGATGACAGCTATCTCTGTCTGAGAACCTGGGAGCCAGATTGCCTGTACAAGGGAAGAATGTTTCATTATCACACTAATCACAATACAGTACCTGGGAAAGCAGGCCTGACATGTAGCAATAATTTATAAAAAAATGAACTTACCTGATAATTGCCTGATTATTTTTCACTGCTTAATTTGCAGTCTTGTACCTGGTGTTGTTTAAAATGACAAGCGTCATTCTATCATTGCAAAGTAAACCAAACTATGTTCAACAGAACATGAATTTTAACATGCATACTGAACAATAGTACTATATAATATTATACAGACCTTGATTATGAAGTTCCCAGTCTCCAATTGAGGATGTAGAACCAAGTGGTCTGACATGGCCCCTGAGCTGCTGAAGGTTAACACATGGCAGTCCTGAAACAACAGACAATACTGTAACACTTCAAGTCTACAATGAATAGGTCCATACAATGTTGTACACATAATGAGATTGTCTGCTTGGAGAAAAGCCTTTTTGCCATTTGTATCAATAACATGGTTTCATGTGAACAAGCCAAAATTGGAGTCGACATGTGATATCCATAGAATTTGTGAATGTCACAGAAGTGTCCAGTTGCTTGTGAGAGAGGAGCCTGTTTTAAGAAATTTGCATCATCATCGCAGAGAAAAACTCAGTGGTAGGTAAATCGTGCAATGTATGTATAATTCTTGGTAGTCCTTCACAGTCAAAGTTCATACATTATATCAAACTAAAAACCACACAACAAGAAACTGGAAAAGTCCATTCCATAGAAATATATACTAAGTATACTTAATTGATGCACATCAATTAGGAAACAAATACATAGTTTTACACAATTGTGTAAGATCCAGAGATGCTAAAAAATTTTCAGAATGGAAGCCACCAACCAACACAGGGGACAATACTCATTTTCACCTGAGCGAAGTGAGGAAAGTCATGTAAAGTGCCTTCCCCAAGGGCACAAGATCGGTGGCATGTCAGGACCCTGGACCTCTTGATTACGAGTCAAGCACTCTGCCGCTACGCCACACGACCCTACAATTATTTCCTTGTCAATTTCCTAAGTTTTGATTTGAATGTCCAAACCTGAAATGTGGCATAATTGACATGTCCTGCATTTCTAAAGCCGTAATCCATTAGGCAACACCAATTTAATTTGTTGGTTCTCGGATTCGCCTCTTCCTTTTTTTTCTGATTTGCAAAAAAAAAAAATTCTGGTTCTGAATCAACTAAGAAATGCTTATATTTTGCCCCTAACAGTTAAGGAAAGTCCTTTTCTTCCTAGTTCCTACAGTTTTTCCATTCATCAATGCAGTGGTTTGATTAAAAATTGAGGATTAGGCAAATTGTACTTACCATGAAGGATAATCCCAATTATACCTCACACGAACTATTTGGGTATATCATTTACCTTATGCAGTATTTCCTATGCTTATCGCTAGGTGGCGCACGTGTACAAAGCTCTAATCGCAAAGCATCACGGGATATCATGACGTAATGACATTGTTCGCCGCCATTTGACGACGTGCGAGAAAGAGTCTGTGCTGTTCACCAAGGGTGGGCATTTTCAGCTACTTGGGAGCTGAAGAACAGCAAGGGTGGGAAGATATACCCAAATAGTTCGTGTGAGGTATAATTGGGATTATCCTTCATGGTAAGTACAATTTGCCTAATCCTCAATTATACCTGCACACTCCCTATTTGGGTATATCATTTACCTTATGCAGACTTCAGAGCCGTGGACAGCACAGCCTGGCCAAACGTGTGTTGGTTGTTGTCCCTCCTGTAGTACTTCAGGAAGGTAGACTCTCGTGACCAGTCCGCTGCATTCATGATGCTATGTAGAGACACCCCAGCAGCTGTAGCAGCTGAAGTGGATGCTCCTCGAGTGGAATGAGCTGAGAAAGTTGCTGTGTCAACATCTGCCGTGCCTAACACTGACTTAACCCACCTGGCCAGGGTCGCAGAACCAACTGGCCTGTGTGGTCTGCTGAACGATATGAACAACTTCTGCTCCCCCCCCTTCTTTCCGAAGGGAAGAAGTCCGCCTTAGATATTCTTTCAGGTATGTGAAGGCACACAAGCGCCTGTCCTGCGGGAAGGCCGCCCAAAAACACTTTCTGGCAGGTTTCCCTGGTCTAGAAGTTTCAGCAGGGTAGGAATTGTCCAAGAAACACCGTTTCTACTATTTTTTTTTTTTTATGAATCTCAAGTCAAGAGCCGCTAAAGTCTGACCTCTGTCGGCTGACACCAATGCTGCTAGTGTTACCAACTTATGAACCAGCTGTTCAAACTAAGACTATTAGCTTGGCAACAATGCAGAAGGTACTCTAGGACCCGACTGACGTCCCATGTTGAAACATATCTTGGACAAGGAGGACGTTTGTGAAACAGACCTCTCATCAGTTTGGACACTAGAGGGTGACTACCCAGTCATTACAATGGTCTACTGGTAAGTGTAGAGACGAGATCGCAGAACGAGCCACCCCAATTGCCATACAATGCATAGCCGTAGTTCTGTCGGAACATCCATTCAAGATATTCTACTACGCTCTCTATAGAGCCGCAAACTGGATCAATCTCCCTCCTATCACACCAGCTGGCCCACTGAGCCCCTGCTGACTGATACTGTCTAGAAGTGCTTTCTCTCCAAGCCGAGAGGATGAGGTCTGAAGCCCCTGCCGAAAGGCCCCGACCCTGCAACTGTCGCCTGATCTTGGCCACGCGGCAAGCATCAGATCTGGCAACAGCGGATGGGGTCTCCTGTTGTGCGGCAGGAACAGCAGATCCCAGCTCTGTGGCAGGAGAACCGGACTCTCGAACAACGTGTTCAACACCTTGGGGTACCAAGCCTGAGACTTCCAAACTGGAGGTATCAAAATCACTATTGCTACATCTGACTGGACTTTCCTCAGTACCTTGAACACTAGGCTGAAGCGGGGAAAGGCATGCGCTAGCCCCCGGTTGCCTCAGTGAATGTTTAGGCCATCCACCGACATGGCCTCTGGTTCTGGGTGCCAAGAGACATACTCCTTCAGCTGAGCGTTCATACGAGACGCAAACAGATCTAC